GCTGCTTAGTGTAGCCACAGTGACTTTGCAGTCACCCCGACAGGGCTGCTGTGCCCTTGTAGCTGAAGACTCCTCCCACTTGCCCCCCCTTCCCCTCTCCACATGCCTCCATGTGGCTGAAGGGCTTCTCCAGTGCACAAGGAATGACCTTTATAAGGATGAGGTGGAGACTTCACCTGAGAGGAATCAGGCAGTTGTTTGGCCTTCAGAGAGGAGAAAAAAGGCCTAACCCTCTTGTGGCCTAGAGACAGAGTACTTCAGCTTCCTGTTCCCTGATGAAAGGTCCTGACTGCTAGTAGCATGACTGGGGGGTCCTTGGGTTGTGGCTCTCCCTACTCTACTCCCTCACATCCATGATTCCAAAATGGCAGTTCCCGTGGCCCTTGACCCTTGCAAGCTCAGCATCTGCTTCTGGCTCGATGACAGTGCAAACACTCAGTTACATGTGGATAAAACAATAACCAAAATGTCCTGTTGGCCCTTGCATCCTCTTCTGGTGTTTCTACTGTGCATTTTTAAGGGTTATGTTTTCATGCCAGTGTCTATTGGGATTCCATTTCTTTTTTTTTTCTAGGCAATTAGGGTTAAGCGACTTGCCCAGGGTCACACAGCTAGTAAGTGTCAAGTGTTTGGTCTGAGGCCGGATTTGGATTCAGGTCCTCCTGACTTCAGGGCCGGTGCTCTACCCACTGAGCCAACCTAGCTGCCCCTGGGATTCCATTTCTTCCATCTACATTACTTTCTATGTCCCCCATGTTTCTAAGTGGCAGTTAAGGAGTGAAAACATCTGGTTAGAAGCCAGTTGTCACCGAGTCACAAGCTCCAAGGTACTAGGAGTACTGTTGGAGAAGTACATATTGGGGCCAGCATGAGCTAGGAGGCTGGCCCTGCAGTTTCCAAGCTCTTGTGGTTCTGTGCCTCAAATCACAGCCCCCCACCCAGTAGGACACCCCACCCCTGCTATCATTTGTAGCTAATCTAAGGAGTCTAAGGAGGCTTCTGTTCCGAGTATGCAGTGCCTCAGCTGGTCAGCAACAGGTTTCTATTTTTGGTCAATTTCTTCTGGTGTGAGAATGTTGCTCTTTCTTTTTAGCAGATTCTTCCCTTTCAATTCGAGATGTGCTGTTCTTCATTACGCAAAAACTCCTTAAGTTGGTAAAAATCCATCTATTTAGTCTCCTACTGTTTTTTTTTCCTATTTGTTCAGGGGTTAAACATTTCCCTCTTCCCTACAACTGAGTCATATATTAGTGCCAAAGGTCAAGATTTTGGATTCTTTCCTTTTTTGTCCATCTATCGCTCTTCCTAGTGCTGTACCTGATGATGACATCAAGCTGGAAAAGGAAGCTGACGTTCAGGTCAAGAGCTGAGATGCCCAGAGATCTCGGCAGGCTCAATCTAATAAAATGAAATTTAATAGGGACAAAAAAGTTGTACATTTGGGTGTCAAAAACCAATCTTCATGAGGACAAGAGGAGGCAGGAACAGAGTATTAGTGGAACGCATACTCGAGATTAATCGACAGCAATATGGTGGCCAAAAAAGCTGCATTATGATCTCCAAGCCCCCTTTGAGGCTGGCATTCTGAGATCTCACCACACGTGGTCAGAGAAAGGACTGAGAGTAAGAGATAAGTGCTGGATGCTTGGGTCCTATGCTGAGCACCAGGCAGTGACTGGGTATAGACAGCCTCCACTGTATTGTATAGGCCCTCTGGATGCTTAGGACAGTAAAAAAACATTTCTTAAGCACCTACTACGTGCCAGGGACTGTCCTAAGGGATGGAGGTACAAAGAAAGGCCAACCCAGTCCCTGCCCTCAAGGAGCTCAGTCAAACGTGACTAACGACATGCAAATTCAAGGTCCACACAATGTCTCTCCATGTTAAGTTGGGGCTGCTCAGCAGAAGGAAGGCACTGGGAACGAAGAGGGGTCAGGCATGGCTTCCTGTAATTGGCTGGGACTTAAGGGAAGCCAAAAAGGCCAGGTGGTGGAGATGGGGGGGGGGAATCACAGTCAGATGGAGTCTGTGGTGGGGATGGGGGAGTAAGGTCTAAGGAAACTGCAAAAGTCATGAAAAGCTTTCCAAGCCAAACTGAGGAAAGGATATTTGAGCCTGGAGTCACTGGAGTCAACTGAATAGGAGGAATGATAGACTCTGACCGGGACTTTAGGAAGAATTTGACAAATGTGTAGAAGATGGAATGTAAAGCAACTTGAGGCAGGCATGACAATAGTCCCCAGATGAACTTTTTCTTTTTTTGGTGAGGTGATCGGGGTTAAGTGACCTGCCCAGGGTCACAGAGCTAGTTAAGTGTCAAGTGTCTGAGGTTGCATTTGAACTCAGGTCCTCCTGACTCCAAGACTGGAGCTCTATGCACTGCGCCACCTAGCTGCCCCTGCAGTACCCAGATGAGGGTGACTGCAGTGTCAGAGGAGAGAAGGGAGTGGAGATGAGAGGTGACACAAAGGCAAATATGACAGGACTTGATCACAAACTGGGTATGGGAAGTGCAGAGCCTGAGGGACAGAGGATGGTAGTGACCCTGATGGTGTCATGGGAGTCTGAAAGGGAGGAAAGAGATGAAGTTCTGTTTTGAACACACTTAAAGCCCCAAGCTATTAAACTCCTGAGTGTAGCCCAAAGCAGATTAGAATGGAACTGGGAAACTAACAAAATGAAAAGACATAATGGGATTTTGTGGTTTTCAGTCAGCGTGTAGCCTGTAGGGATCAGTTTTTATTTGAGTTTGACACCACTGGTCTACAAGGAGTCCAGGTGGAAATGAGACTGGAGGGCCAGGGTTAGGACTGGTTAAATCTGGCAATCTTTAGTGGTCTGGGACCACTCTAAGGGAAGAGGTGGCCCCCATGTGGGAAGTCACTGAAGCTACGGTGATAGTAGGAGTAAGGGAGCCCACTCAGAGTGGCCCAGTGGTTTGTTAGCAGTGTCAGTGACCCAATTTGTGACATGCTGGAAATGACGGCCCAGCATCAGGAATTGGTGAAAAAAATGAAAACTGAATCCATGGGAGCTGATGACATCATGATGGAGGGAGAAGAGTGCCCAAGACACAGCTTTGGGGGACACTCATGTTTAGTGAGCGTGACCTGGATAAAGATCCAGCAAAGGAGACTGACAGATAGGAGAGGAGTCTCATAAAAATGGAAAGAGAGTATCAAGGAGAAGGTGGTGATATAGAATGGCAAAGGCAGCGGAGAATGGGGATTGAGAAAAAAGGTCATTAAGAGATCACTGCTAACTTTGGAGAGAGTAATTCCATTTCAGTGATGAGGCAGGAGGGCGGACATGGAGGCCTCTATCCATTGCTTATAGCCACAAAAGCGAGGAGAGACGAGAGAAGTTAGCAAGCATACATCAAGAGTCTTTTTCAGGATGGGAGAGTCATGGGCACTTAAGTCTTCCCTCGTATAGACAGGGAGACTGCAGGTTAGTGGGAGAGTGGGGATGATAGAGGGATCAGGATCTGCTGGAGAAGCCAGGACGGAATGGGATCACTTGCTCTTCAGGTGAGATGGGGTTAAGGAGATAGTTGTGATGTGAATGAGTGATGTGAGATAAAGAGGGGAGGAAAGGGAGCTCTCACTGAAGGGCCAGACTCTCAGCTAACAGGGTGGCAGGTTTGGAATAGATGTCGTGGTGAAGACAGTGAATCAAGTAGAGCGTTATAAAAGGATTGCCTTGCCATGGTGAGAGCCCAACTGAGATCGACATTGTCAGCAATTTGGGTTCAACAGCGAGTGTGCAGGGACAAAGGCACTGCATGAAGGGAATAGTCCAAGGCTGGGGCTTGGCAGAGAAGCTTCAGAGCTAGGACAGGAGATTCAAGAGGACAGTGTAGAGTTAAACTGGCTGACCAAGAGGTCAAGATGGGGAGGAGAGGAGAGTGCAGCCAGGGCAGGGGTGACGGCCTGGTTAGATATTGAGGTCTTGGTGAGGGCAAAGAACAGGGTTTGCTGAAAAAGCTCCAAAGAAGTTCACAAACGTGCATGGGCTGTGGAACAAGGGAATACCCCCAATCGAGATCAGCCATTTTGAAATATTAAAACCTAGGACTCTTGTCCTCTGACCCTCGCCTCCCAGGGTCGGTGCACTTCGAAGTGCTACGGAAAGCCGCTTAGCCTGCACCCTGGAGGTCTCGGGTGAGTCTGAGAAGAGGCGCTGAAGAGATCAAGCTGATGAACGAAGAGTATTGAGGCCGGCATGGGCCCTGCTGGGGTTCTCGCTTGTTTTAGTGGAAGCACTGAACTTTGAACTTCGGTTGGGTCTTTCCTTGTATTCCCAGCGCCTTCCACAGAGTAAATGCTTAAAAAGTGCTTGCAGGCCTTCTTGGCCTTGTCCCTTCCTCCCAGCCAGGTGAGTGGGGGGGCAGAGGGAGGTTGGTGGCTCTAGTGCTAGAAGGGATGACAGCATTCTACAAAGGAGGAGACTGAGGCCCAGGTTAAGAGACTTGCCCACAGTCACACTGTAAGCATCAGAGGCTGTCAGGGACGTTTTGGTCCTGTCCAAGAGACCCTAGGGGCTGCCTTCCTTTTGCTTGTGTGGTACCTGTTTGTGGGCCTCACAGGGAAGGAGGGCCAGAGTGACGTGGGTGGCTGTGGACAAGTCACCTCCCTACAGCAAATCTATTTCGTCCTTTGTGTAAAGCCGAGCCTAACTCTGACACCCCAACCCTTCCATGGGCATCATGGGATACACGCTCGCCAGCAGATCACCCAGCTGGGGCCAGAAGAGCATTGGAAGGCTGTGGGCCATTTCCCAAGCCCTGGAGCCAAGGATCCCAATGTGAGTGGCACCCAGGACAAGGCCTGACCCCACCAACCTCACAGGCTCAAAGTCTGGGGCTTTTCTGGTTTTATTAGAAAAAGAAGAGGAGAGTTGGCCAGAGGGCGGGTAAGTGGGCAGGGACCATGGCTTCCCAAGAAAAGAAACAAAGAGGCTGTAGGGGACGAGGGCCAGCCAACAAGCCGGGCAAGGCTAGGCAGGGCTGCCCTCTTCCCTCTCTTGGAGCCTTTAGGTAAAGGCTATCCCAGATGGGGGGCTGAGGTGAGGGGGCGGGGGAGGCCTGGACCAGGGTTTACTCTGCCTCGTTGAAGCGAGTCAGCATGGTCTTGTGCAGACTCTCCTTGTAGGACTCGGATGCGGTGATGCCATAGGAGCTGCCCCGGGCCCCCAGTCCTGAGCCACGGACACGAGTCTGGGCCTAAGAAGACAGAGGGCCAGTGGTGAGGGGGGGGATACGGCCTGCTGATCTGGGGCCCTGGACAGTGGGGAGGGAGTGGGGGGGGGCAGGCGCACCTCAATGGGAGTGATAATGCCTTGCTTCTTTCGACCTAGCCCGCTGCCCTCCTTCCAGCCCATGGCCTGCAGCATACGGCTACCAATGTTGTCACTGCCCAGCCCGTCTCTGGTGGGCTGTTCAAAGTCCCTGCAAGAAAGAGGAAAGGGGCAGAGAATGAGGAGAGGCGGCTTGAAGAGGCCTGAGCTTCCCTCAGCTCACTCCCCTGGTCCCTGCCTGGCCCTAAACAGAACACTCACACGGTGGCAGCCGTCACAGCCCCAGATTTCCTCTTCTTGGGCTCCGGGGGCTCCGGGATGCCATACTTCTCCCGACGCTCTGCTGCCCGGTCCCTATACTTCATCTGAAGCAGAGGGAAAAGTCCCCAGTCAGGGCAAAGGGAGGAAGGGGCAGGGATGGGGGCAGGGAGGGATGATGGAAAGGCAGCCAGGAGACCCACCTCCATGTCACTCTTTTCCAGGGCCTCCAGCTCATTCTCAGACAAGTGAGCCCGCCGGTGAATCTCCAGGTTTTGCTAGGGAAGGGGGAATGGAATGAGCACGTTGGCTTTGTGGCCCCCCAAATTGCCTTGGCTTCAACCGAGGCCCTCCCGATGTGCATACCTTGTGCAACCCAGAAAGCTGCTGGTGGCGGATCAGAGCCTCTTTGCTAGGGAACTGGCGTCGGCAGAGAAGGCAAGCCAGCTTCTGCCAGTCGGTAAGCCTCTCCTCCCTCTCTGCGCTCCGCTCGGGCTCCTCCTCGCTGTCACTCTCGCCACTATAGGCAGCCACCAGCCCCCGGGGGGGACTCTGCAAAGACAGAGGGGGCAGCTCAGTGCCACTGAGGGGGCCCAAACAGGGAAAATGCACACCGCCACACCCATCCCAACCGGGGACCTCCTCACCAGGCGGTCATCACTCGTCAGCTTTGGCAGGTCCATGGCGGTATGCTGTCTCTCAGCCAGCGTCCCCTGAGAGAGGGGACAGGACAGACTGGGGTCATCATTGGCCTGGGAACTGGGGACAAGCAAAGGGAGCTGGGGAAGGGGAGGAGGAGCACCTTCTTCTCCAGGATGGCATAGCCAGCATCAGCTGTAGCTGACTCCCGCCGTTCATCTTCCCGCAGAGAGCTGATGGGCTGGAAACTGTTTTTGAAGTTCTCCTTCTGTTTGTTGAGGCTTCGGGCCCAGCGTTCCATGTCCTTGGCTATCTGCAGGGTGTGGAGGCAGGGGTGGAGGTGGAAGAAAAAGAGCAGGCCTCGGGTCAAGCTCTCAGGCCTGGCCAGCTCCAAGGCCTCAAGCTCTGTCTTGCCCTTCCACTCCTACCTGCTGGGCCGTCTTGGTCTTGTGCTTCTCCTTCTTTTCTTTGCCTTCCTTCAAGCTTGGCCCTGTCTCCTTGTGTCCGTCAGTCACCTGCTCCAGGGCAGGGACATAGGTGCGCCGCTCCCCATCCCAGTAAAGGTACTGCTGACTCTGGGAGTTGTAGTAATACTGCCGTGGGAGGAGAGAGGCCAGGCTGATATGACTCCCTCAGGCCACATGCCAGCCCTCAGCCCCTCAAGCCCTTTCCCGTCACTCACCTGAGAGTTTGGGTCATAGTAGAGTCCTGTCTGCGGGTCATAGTAGTAGCCTGATGTCTCGTCATATTGGTAGGTGGAGACATCAGGGATTGCTGTGGGACAGGGGAGAGAGCTGCTTTCCTTGGAGAGTTTGGGGGGTGGCACTGGAAGGCTTGGGGGGGGCGGGGCAGGAGAAAAGGGGCAAGCAACCCAAAGGAAATCCTAACCCAGCCCCAGCAGGTACTCACGGTACTGGCCATAGGAGTCTTGGGCAGCCGGACTGGTAGTGGGTGGGGGTACAGAACTGGGCTGGGCTGGGCTGAGAAGCTCAGCCTTCAAAACCGCAGGGGACACGATTGTGTAGGGCTGGGCCTAGGGGGAGATGGGAAGACAGGGCAGGACAGCTCCATCTCTGCACCTATAGGTGACATGCCCCCCCCCCCTCCCCCCAACATCATACCTGGGTGTTAGACACCATTCCCTGGGCATTGGCCCCCTCAGCCCCTGGCTGCTGATAGATGCCAGGCATGGCACTGGCTTGGGCATGAGGAAAGGCCTGGATCAGGGGCACAGCATCAACACCAGGTACACAAGGTTCCAAGGTGGTTTCAGTGCCTGGCAAGGGGTAGTTACACAGGGTTAGGGCCAAGCCTTGCTCGCTGCCACCAATTTTGACAACACCCACGCAAGGACCTCACCTGCTCCAGCAGGGTCTCCCTTGCTGCCAGCCATATTCAAAGCCTTGGTGGCGCCTTTCAGGTAGCCACTGTGGCCATAGAGTGTGGCCTCACTGCTTGGGCCACAGTAGGCCTCATCCTGGTGGTAGTAGTTGTAGTCTGCCACTGGCTCCTCAGGTGCTGCCCAGCTCCCCTCCCCACCCTGGGACGCCTGTGGGATAGAGCGAGGAATGATCAGGTGAGGGGTTGGACACCAGGCAGAGCCCTGGGCCTCTACAAAAGGAAGGCCAGTACCTGCCACTGCAGAGAAGAGGGATAAGCATGGGAGAGTCAGAGAGGCAGGACGGTGGGGCCACTTCCCATTTCTTTACTGGCTCTGCATGAGGTGCTTTACCCAAGGTCACACAGGTTAGAATTTCAACCCAGGGTCTCAGACACCAAATCCATAGCTCCCCTAGGCGCCTATGTACCCAGCAAAGTGGCCTTTGGAATTCCCAGACAAGCAAGACAAGGGGGCAAATGGAGACATTCCCAAGGCCCCAAAGGCTCCTGAGTCTGAAGTCGGAGGTAGGCGGCACTGGGAGAAGCCTGCCTTCCTGAAGTACCTGCGAGATGGCCCACTGGGCAGCAGCGATGGCTGTACTGGCAACAGAAGCAGCATTGATGCGGTTGCCATCGTTGGAGGCCATGTCCCTATGGGAGAGGGGGGGCACAGGGGTCACATGGGCCCAGGGGAATAGAGAAGGCGCAGAGCAGGAGCACGGGCTTGGCAGGGGGGTGGCGGGTCTCACCTCTTGGAGCCCTTGGCAAACTCCACATTAATGGTCTTGCCATCAATGGTGAGGGGAGGGTGGAGAGCTTGGAGAATCTGCAGTAATTGAGCAGCTTCCTGCAGAGAAAAGGCAGGGTCAGGCTCCAGGCCAGGGCTAGGCTCTGCCGCCCTATTCCTGCCAGCCCTGGGGGCCCCCTGGGCCCCCCTCTGCCGCCCTCACCACGATGGTGGAGAGCTGGATAAAGGCGAAGCCTCGATTCAGTTGGGTCTGCTTGTCCTTGATGACCCGGACGTTGGAGGAAGACAGCACAGCGTAGGGAGCCAGGGCTCCCAGGATTGAGTCCATAGTGCTATGGGGGTTCAGGTTGCGCAGGATGATGGCTTTGAGACAACAAAGAAGGGTATCAGGGTAGAGGTCAGCTATGGCCCTCCCACTGCCCACCATTCCTTGGGGCCCCAGGCAGGACTCACTATCATTGGCATTTTCCGAAGTGGGCTCAGAGCCCTGGGTCAGGGACTGTGGGGCCATGAGCCCCTGGGCTGGGTAGGGCTGGGGTAGTGGAAGCAGGCCCTGGCTCAGTTCCCGGCCACCCAGAGGCATCAGCTGCGGGTCCAGCCGTGCACCCAGTGGCAACTTCTGCTCTGCCTCTAGAAGACAAAAAAAGGAGAGGAGAGGCTGATGGACCCTGCGACGACTGAGAGAGGCCTAGCTCACTAACCGCGCCCCCCCTCTGGCCACCTTCCCTAGATCCAGCTCACCTGACTTGGGCACACCACACTTGAAACACTTCTCTCGACGTTTGAAGTTCTGGACTCCACACTGCAAGGGAAGCAGAGGCCGGGCCAGACATGAGGTGGAAATGGGCACGGAAGGGCTCCCTGACAAGTCCCATCTGCCCCTCCTCACCTCTCCAATCCTGAAGTGTCACTGCTCATTCTCTGTGCTCCCACCCACCTCACTTCAGTGTATGCACACTGGCACTCTGTTCCCCTCCCTCTCCTCCAAGAAGCTCAGCCTGAACACGTCCTTCCCTGGCTCACATTTCCTTCAAAAGTTCCTGAGAGGAAGCATCCTGACTGAGCCCAGGCCGCATTCCAGGCCCCTCTAGTCTCTCTCCCCTGGCCCATCCCTTGAGACTGTGACTGGTCTCAATGAGGGTGACAGCCACCCCAGCCCTGCAGCCATCCCCGAGGAGGCCCTCCTTGACCTCTCCATTCTGGGTTCACCAGTTTTGCAATAGTCCAGTGGCATCAGCTCAGAGAAAGGACACCATTTGCCCAGGGTCTCAGAGCTAGAAAGTCTCCAAAGCAGAAGCATCCTGGGCCCTTACCCTAGACTCTCTCCCCTCATGGAACAACAGAGTTGGTCTCAGGAGTGTCAAATGAATGAATGAATGAATGAATGGGACACCAGTGGGGCCCCCAATAGCTAAGCAAGCGTGAAGGAAGAAGGCTTTGATTCAGCCTGCTTGGCCCCAGAAGTCAAAACCAGGAGCAACTGGGAACTACAGAGAAGAGGACTGGGAGTCATTGTAACCCAACACTTTCACTCAATGTGAGCTGTCCCAGTGTGGGCCACTTCACCAGAGACATCCACATGAAGGCCTGGGAGTTCGGTCGGGGGGTGGGGGGCGCCAGGATGGGAAGGGGCCAGGGTGGGGGGTGGGGTAGGGAACTGTTTGGCTTTTAGTCCAGGACCAAGGGCATGATGTCGTGCTGGCCCCACAGGGGCCCATCCTGACTCACCCACTCCTTTGTTCCTCACCTTGTTGCAAAGCCAATCCTCATTAATTTTGGGTTTGGGATCGCTGTAGTGCATGGAGACCTTCTGGCCCAGGATGCTGAGGGAGTGCTGCAGGGAAAAGCAGAAGGCTGTGAGGCCCAAGCCCAGGGGGCCAGCGCCTGGCACACACCTCAGCACAGGAGGAGAGAGAGTGAGCCAGCCCTTCAGCTGAATGGATGAAGGACAACAGGGAGTGGAGGGAGGGAGGGAGGGAGGGAGGGAGGCCACGGCCGCAGGGTGTGGCCCCCGGGCACTGCTGCTGCTTCTCCGGACACAAGCACGCGCACGCACACGCGTGGACACACACCAGCAGGCACGCACTGTCTAACCAACACCGATGGGCCGGTGAGGGGATCCGCTTGGCCCTGACACAGGCCACACTGGGGGCCCTGTGCTACCCAAGCTACACTCAGGGATATGAGAGAGAGAGAGAGAGAGAGAGAGGGATATAGAGAGAAACAGAAACTTGGAGAGGAAGAGAAAAGAGAGAAAATAGCCACAATCAAAGATTGCACCTCCTGCTGAGAGGCCTTCTCCCCCACGACCCATCAACCACGCTAGCCTACTGGCCTCACAGGCCCCGTTCCTGGCCTTGGCCTCCACAGCTACCTCCTGCCACCGAGGCCCAAACAAGGACGCCCCTTGCCAGGAACCACGTTCCACCACACTTGCCCTACCCTGCCATGCCAGCCTCTCATCAGTGCCCTGTCCATGTGGCAAATGGCTGCCAGCTCAGTGGGTTAAGAGTGGACTCTGGGTCTCTCACGCTTTCCTGGGGGGGGGGGGAAGGGGCAGCTCCTAGGCCTGAGGTAGAAAAAACTGGGGGGGAGTGGGAAAGAGAGACATGTGTCAGCCTGGCCCTGCCTAACCTGGCTTCCTTTGACAGCAGCCTGCCACGCGAGGAACCTGTGCCTGGCCCTGTACCGATCAGTCTTGCCATGGTAATGGCTCCTGGGGCCCCAACCCCGGGCCCCATCCTCATCTGCCTGAGTTGGGGACATTCACACATGGATGTGTGCTTGTGCACCTGCGTAGGGGCAGGAAAAACCAACAGCCAATCCAAACACACAGAAAGGAGGCCAAGCTCTTGCCAACAAAAACCTCTGGAAGACCCCCAAGGCCACTGGGGGAAGAGGGGGGCAGGATACCTCAGGCCAGCGGCTCATGGCTCTTGAGCAGAAAGGAGGTGGTCCCCTTGGGGCCACCCTCCTAGTACCAGGCACAGCTAATCCCTGGCTGGGCTGTAAGGGGCCAAACAAAGGGAGAAGGGGACCCCGCTCCTGTAAGCCCAGCCCCATCTCCAAGGAGGGGGTGGGGAAATGACAAAGGAGAGGGCAACCCCTACTCCCAGACATCCCTGGCCACACCTTCCTCTCAGCAACCGGGGAAGGTGGGGGCAGGGAGGTGGGAGAGGATTCCTCAGGAGGAAAGGGGAAGCCAGGACTGAGGAGGGCAGGAAGAGAGGGGGCAGGCAGGGGGCCAACCCTGGGCGGGCGGCCGGCGCCCACAGGCGTGCGCCAGGCAGTACTGGTGTGTGCGTGGGGGGGGGGGCAGGGTTCCAAGTGCAGCAAAGCAACCTGATTGGCTTCCATCCATCGTGCAGCGTCCTGCAAGTGACTAAACTCGACGAAGGCGAAGCCCCGGCTCTGACCTGGAGACAGCATTCAGATACAGACGCAGTGGGTTAGTCAACAGCTGGAGACAACGGGCGTTCCTAGGGGTGGGGCTGGCGGGGCAGGGGAGGTAGGAGGGGACGAGAGTAGAATGGTGGGAAGGGCCAGGGCATAGGCTGGAACTGCCCACAGGGGCTCAGGGGCACTGCCAGCTTGGGCTAAAGGGAAAAGTGGGGGCCAAACCAAAGCGATCCTCCTGTCTGTGGAGGGAGCAGCCGGCCCCTGGCTTCCACATACACCTGGGCCTGCATGCCCCCAAGTTTTGCCAGGCTGGGATGTTCCGAGTGGCTCAGAACAGAGGCCAAAGAACAAATGAAAGAGAGTACCTCACCTCAAAGGCAGGAGGACCCCAGCCCCATTAGATGCTCCCAGGAAAGCTAGGGTCCACGTCTTGGGGGGTGAGGAATTGGGAATGGAAATAACCAGGTTGGCTCTAGTCGAGGAGGGGAAATAGGTGGCAGATGAAGCCCCAGTACCCAAGTCCATGTGAGGTGAGGGCCAGGGGTGCGACTGAAGGCGAAGGGTTAGCTGTGGACTTAGCTTCCCCACATCCCAATTTGTCCAGGCTAAGGTGTGAACTGACCGACAATGGCGCCGTGCCTTGAAGGAGGGGACATGGGAAGAGAGGCCTTGATAAGGACTCCCCACCCTTCAAAAAAGGTCAACAAGGAGAGCCGTGTCTCAGGAGGGACTAGAACCAGCAGGCGAGAAGGAAAGGGGGGTGGTGGCAGAGAGAAAGAGAGAAAAAGCCGAGAAAGGAAAAAAGAAACCACCAGGCTGAGTGATCCCCATGGTGCCTCAGGGCCTCAGCCGCTGGTCCTGACAGCTTTCATCCAAACCTCCAGCCTGCAGTAAAGGGCTGGGGCCAGCACTCGGTGGGGCCACTCCCATTCCCCCACGCCTTTCCCAGGACGGGCAAGCAGCGCCATCTCATCTGGACTTCAAGACACAGGCTCTCAGTGGAGGAAGGGGATGGTGGGCACGACAGGCATGGAAAAGGGAGAAAGTCACCACCTCAGATGCTTAGGGTCAGCCCCCAGGCTAGGGAAGGAGTTGGTCCCAGGCTGAGCTCGGCCCCACCAGACCAGCACCAACTTAAGGAGGGAAGGAAAGAAGAAAAGCAGCCGGTGATCTCAGCTTCAATGGACAGGTGGGAAGGGAAGGGGAAGGGGCAGGAAGGAAGAGATGCATTGGCTGAGAGCAGCAAGACGCAGGGCCACTGGGAACGAAAGCTCACCTGAAGACTTGTTCCGCATCAGCCGCACTTCCCGAGCCTGGATTCCATGGGATTGCAGTTGTGCTCGGATCTGTGGGGAGGACACAGAACGGAGATGTTAGGAGGCTGAGTGGCACTGGCTGCAGGCCTCTGGACAGCAAAGATGGAGAGAGAAAGGGCAAGAAAGAGGTCACATTCTCAGCAAACCCCAATGAGCCAAAGCTGACCGGTTCATAACGGCGTCTCAAGAGAGAAGGAGGGGACCCTGAGCAAGCTGGAGTCCAACGCTCTCCTCCATTCTCTCCAGGGCTGCGGAGACCCAACACTAGCCAACAATAGCTTGTGCCGACCTCATGCTACAAAAGGGCAGAAGCCAGAGGTCATTAAGACAGGACCTTCTTGGCCACAGCTTTGGTGGGGAAAAGGGGAGGGCAGAGTGCAGTTCACACTCTACCTTTTCTTTTTCATGGAGTTAAAAAGCACATGTTGGCTTGGGGATTCTCAACCTGGGGACCAGGAACTTTGTTCTTTTAATATTTTGATCACCATACTTCAATATCATTGGTCTTCTTTGTCACCTTAGGCATTTCAAAACATGATTTGTTTGGAGGTGGCCTGAGGGTGCCAGGAGAGCCAAAAGGGTAAAAAATCTTGCGTGAGGCACCCCTCGGATTTGCCAAATCATCCCCCAGCTGCCAGCTGGCTGCTGGTAGGCCCTCTCGGTCCCAAGCACCAGAGAGCTCCCCACTACTCCTAACCTGGGGGCACTCTCAACTCTTTCTCCACACCAAATGGCCCAGAAAACCTCACAGAGATGGATGGTGTATGCACCCAGAGGCTGGCTGCCCCGGCAAGGGTCTCAGCAGAAATGCGGACTGAAAGGACTGGGGGGAGCACAGAACTGCTAGGCCCCTCTTTTCCCATTTTTTTTTTTAAAGTGAGGCAATTGGGATTAAGTGACTTGCCCAGAGTCACACAGCTAGGAAGTATTATGTGTCTTGAGGCTGGATTTGAACTCAGGTCCTCCTCACTCCAGGGCTGGTGTTCTATCCACTGCACCACCTAGCACTTCCCATTCTTAAGGCCCTATTGAGAGAACTCCCAGATCCAGATCTCCCTGGACCTGGCCACCTCCCCACAGATGCCCTACCAACACCAAACGCTCTTAGCCAGCCTTCCCACAAGATGCGACTCCTTTCCTGTTTCTGAGGATGCTTCCAACTTTGCAGTCACTTTGGACTCTCTTAGGTGAGTGGCATGTGGATGAGGTAGAAAGGGGACTGGCTTGGGAAGTCAGGAATTCGGTGCCTTTAGCAAAGGCCATGGCCCTCCCCAGGCCTCATTCCCTTCATCCACAGAATGAGGGAGATGCCAGAGCTCACCTCCACGGTCCCGTCCATTCCCTCCACATTCAGACTCCCTTTCTCAAACTATCCCCCTTCGACCTACTGTCCATGTATCTATGTCCTGCCTTGGTCTCCTCTTCTTCCCTGCCCCATCTTCATCTGAAGTTCCTTTGAGGCCACCACCTCCTCCATGAAAGCCTCTGGTTCCCCAAAGTGCTGGGGCTCAGGCCTTGCCATGGCTCTCCTCTCACTCGTGCGTAGCACAGCTGCACATGTGCTGAAGACCTCCACCCCCATTAGAAACCTAAGTTCACAGTGGGATCTGTGTTGTATTTCTTTTCTCAGGGTTTGAGAATTAAATTAAAGTGGGTGATGGGGTGGTGAAGTAAATCAAGGTCATGTTTCCGCCTCTGGAGGAGGATCCTGGGAGGGGAAGTTATGACCTGGGATCAGAAAGGGATGGAAGGCACACAGACATGATAGGAGATGGCTCAGAGAAAGAAGGGGCTAGTGGGGCTGGCACATGAGGGCATGAGCAGGGCAGCTAGAGAAGTCTTTACTGAGTGCCCCACGCAGTATACTGGGTGCATGGTCCCCCAATAGCTCTTGCTGTAACGGGTCGACAAGAAGCATCCACATGAGACACATGGCCAAGCAATTGCTAGAAGCAGGAAAGAAGAGCTCAGGGTAGAGCCTGGAAGGGGGGGGGTGGTCAGGAAGAAGAGGAAATCAGTATCATATGGGAAGAGGAGAAAAAGGAAATGAGGCTGATGGCTTACAAAAATTCATTCTGAGAACCAATGGGAGACCAGGTGAGGCCAGAGTAAGCCTCAGAGGGCCTTGGGTACAAGAACTTAAGACTTTATCCTGAAACTGACGCTCTATCATACCAACTCAGGGGTTCTTAACCTGGGCTCCAGGGACTCTCACAGAGTCTGTAGATAGATTTCAGGGGATCCAAGAACATGGATGGGAAAAACAATCACATCTTTATTTTCATTAACCTTTGGTTTCCTTTGTAATTCTCTGTATTCTATTTTCTGCATTTCAAAACATGATTCTAAGAATGGGTCCACGGGCTTCACCAGACTGATGCCCAAGGGGGCCATGCCACATAAAAACCCTGCTTTAACTGGACCCATCTCTGGAGAAGAGGCAGGACTTACTGAAAGCTGAGTTGTACAAAGATGCCTGCAGGACTACCCAGGCAGGGGAGACTCGAGGGAACAGAGTCAAAGCCAGGAGATCCTGCAGAAGGCTGCAGAGGAGGGGAGGAGGGGAAGGTGGAGGAGGAGGAGGATGAGGGGGAAGATGAGGGGGAGGAGGGGGGAGGGGGGTGAAGGGGGAAGCGTGATGGACACAAGACAGATCATCCATGATGAAGCAATTGGATGGCAGCTGACTGGGCTTTGGGAGGGACAAGCAAGAAAGCAGGGACAGCATCAGATGAGGAGGCTGCCTTGGGCTGAGGAGACACACTGGACCAGAGCAAGGGCTGGCAAGACCAAGGCACAGGGGTGGGGGATGCTTCTACCCAGTTCTCTGTGGTGCTGGAATGAGGGAGCATTTGCTCCCCAGGAGGATCCTGGGCTTCCTGAGCCCTGGCATCGAGTGGACTGAGGCGTCAAGGATGGGACTGAATCCCTGTCTCCCAGGAAGCCTAGGGCTCAAGGCTCATGTCATTTGCCTACTGTCCCCCCCACTCCCATACAACTTCACTCTTAACTTGAGCCAAGTCCTCCCCCCTCCCCCCAGGGCCCGAGGTGGGGGGTTGCAGCACGGCCCCCAAGGGCACATACGTCATTCTCTGCAGCTGCCTGTGGCAGCATCCGAAGCATGATGATGTGACTGGCCTTCTCTTCCTCCTCCTCCTCCCCTTGCTCGGTCCGGTAGTCCTGGTCCCGGTAGTCGCCGTCTCCGGGGAAGCCCAGGGGCTCGGTAGGGCTGTCCCGCTTACGCTGCTGTGTCTCAGAACCTGAGGAAGCCTCATAGGAATCCTGAGTGACAGAAGGGGATGAGAGAGACCAGGCAGTCAGCCTGCTGTGGGCCTGGAGTCCAGCCATGCTGCCCTCCATGGCTCTGAAAGCCAGAAAACTCAGTGAAGCCAGGCCATGGACAGGCAGGCCCTTCCTCAGGCTTGCAGAAATTCTGCACAACCTCTCAGAATACCAGTCCTTCCTTTCCTCTGGTGGCAGGTAGGAGATGGAGATGCAGCTCAGGGGGCAGAGGAGAGCCGCCCACCTCCCAAACATAGGCACTGCAAGACCCCCAGCTCAGGGCAGGCCAAAGTCTCCAGAGTACCAACAGCCAGGCTTGAGACCATGCAATCATCCTTGGCCCCAAGCACAGAAAGGTGGGACAGGGTTTGCAGAGACAGTAGTACAGGCTCAGCAAATGAGGCCCTGTCCCTGTTGAGAATGGCTGGCGGCCAGCGTCGATGGTATTACCAAAAGCCAAGGAGCCATGGGTTCTACTGCCCCTAAAAGCACGGGACCAGAAAGCCAGGCTAGCCAGCACTCCAGGTGGGAGGGAAGAAGGGCCAGCCGATGCCCTAGCAGCGAAGGGCAGGATGGAAAGCAGGACAGCGAGAGCAGTTCACCTGCCACCTCTGCCCAGTCCAGGCCTGGCCTTTGGAGACTCTGTCAAGGACTTTCTCATAGCCTTTCCCAAGGCTGGGCCCTATGTCCCTCTGCCTCGCTTCTTTCCTTAACAGCCCATGGGCTCATCCTAGCCTAACCAAGTAAGCCAGAACCCACTGAGCCCTTCTCTGGGCTGAGAGCAAGAAGAAAAAATGCCCACCCCAAAGGGGCTTGGCAGGAGCCCCTGCCCCTGAGCTCAATTCTTCCACCTCCTAGTAAAAGTTCCTGGGCCTGGAAGTCCTGCAAAAAGCCACTGGAAGGGCCTTTGCTCTGGCCTCACAAAACCAACACTCAGCCCAAGGCAAATACCACGTTCCCCGACTTGGTTGGGGCAGAGACACAGACCAGACCTTTTCCTTCAGACTAAGAGGTCTCCAAAAACAAGGCTGCTTCTTGTCTACTGACAGCTAAAAGTTTCTACTGGAGCAGGGGTAGGTTCTGCACTCAGAGCTCATAGTTTTTGTAGAGTGTTAAGGGTCACCTAAAGGCAGGGCTGGCCCATCCAAGTACTGCTCCATCAGTTGCATGGCAGGAAGGGCCTTTCACCCTGTGAGCCACCTCCCCCACCTCCCACCCCCATCCCAGCCAATACTCCTGATCATACAAATGCAGGATTCTTTGTCACACTGGGAGCAGTACTGAACCCTAACTTGGCTCTGGGTGTTCTTCAGGAATCAAAGACCAGCTTGGTGGGCGGGTGGGTCAGGAAGAACAGAGGCTGCCTGCCCTGAGGACAGTTACAGAGACAGAGCCGAGTTACAGAAGCTGATGAAGTGAGAGCGTCTGTGTTTGGAAGCTATCGATCTCCTCCTCCTCCTCCTCCTCCTCCCCCCAGGAGTCCTCCAGAAATAGGCAAGACTACGGCGCTCTGAAAAGCAGAGCCAGCTGGGAAAGGGCAGGGGGCCCAAAGGGTACGGTGTGGGGAAGGCCAGGTTGGGCTAGCCACTCTCTCTGGTGAGAGGATGAGGTCAGCCAGACTTACTGGACCAGGCCAGAAGAGAGTTCACTCGCCTTGAGGATAGACATTCAGCTAGGCCCAGCACTCACCTCTGCACTCTGCTCTTCAGAAGAGTCATCATAATCATGGCGGGGTTCCTGGCTGCTAAAGTCCCGGGGATAGGAGCGGTAATCCATGTCCCGGTAATCATGGTCTCTCTGACTCCGGCTGTCCAGTCCATCATCCTGGAGGCCGCGGTCAGTGGCACCATAGCGGCCAGTCCTGTCTCCACGGCCACCTCTAGAGAGGGGACACAGTTCCAGGTCAGTAGAAGAAGCCCTCAAGCTCACTGGAGGCCTAGGCCTCAGCTCCCGTCTCTAAAACTAAGTGGGCAGGGAAGAACAAAGATGAGCACAGAAACCTAGGTCCAAATCCAGTTCTAGCACAAAAGCTGCCATTCCTAAAAGGGTTCTATGGGTCCACTTGCAAGGGCCCATACCCCATCCCTAAACAAGGCTCACTCCAGCTTTTAGGTTCAGTCCTGCATGCTCACTGGGAAAGGGACAGAGAAATGCGGGGGAGCCCTTAACCTGGAAATCAATCACCCAATACAGCTCAGCACAGCCCCTGGGAGGAACTAGAGGCCAGCCTGGGTCCAGGGCTCTCTACCAGTGGAGCCAGAGGTCAAAGCCTGGCCTACCAGGCTCTGTAGGGGCTAAGATGAACAGAGCAGTTTTTTGGGTGCCGGAGGGCTGACAAATACTTTCCTTACAAAGGCCCCTTGAGAGTGAGAGGTAGTGTCAAGTAATGATGATCCCAAACTTATAGATGAGAAAATAAATGCTTAGAGAATGGCTCTGACTTGCCCAGTCTTGGAGCTTCCAACCCAGGTCCTGGCTGGAACCACTAGAGAGGGAAGAACACTCACTGTATTTGGGCTCAGGAGATGCACTCTGACTCCAACCTCTGGGTGACTCTCAAAGCCGGGGGTGGGGGGGATGGAATCCCTGCCTTTCAACTGTCTATAAAATGGAGGTGATGATCCTAGCATGATATACCTCTGTGTAAACCTGAAAGGGCCCCCAGCTGGCACCTGCCTAGTCTGGGTGACCCCAGAGGAGAAAACACCCTGTCTGTGGGCAGCTCAATGGCACCATTGGTACAGAGTTCAGATGCCATGAGACCTCCAGCCCTATGGGACTCTTGTGCCAGCTGACCACTGAGGAACAGCAAACAGTGACACCAGCCACAGTAAAGACAAGGAGAAGCAATTTCCTTGGCTAACTGGCTGCTCAGCCCTGGTCATCCTGGTTACAAATGGGCAGAGCTACCAGAACATCTGGGTCCTGAACTGTGAGCTCTGGAAGAGTGTGACTGTGCCCTACAAATGGGGCCCGTCTTGATTACTGAGCACAAGGACTGCTGAAGAGACCACTGCCACCCAGGGCAAAGCTTCGAGGTCAAGCCAGCTGCAAGACTTCTCACTCAGGGAAGGAAAGTGTCCTGACTTCTCACCCCTAGCTCAGCAGTGCCTCGGGCTCCAGGGCAGGTCAGGAGAGCAGCCCTGGCTCCGCTCCTGAGCAGGGCTCATCAAAGCCTCTCCGCTCCTGCTGATTACTTCACTAAAAAGGGTCATCACATGCCCATGTGGCCAAAGGCAGCCGAGGAAGCTGACATCACAGCAACACTGCCTCCTGCTCTGTTCTCTCCAAGTCCTGGTCAAGCTCCTTAGAATCTGGGCCAACAGCCCTACATCCCAGGGTGCACTGGCACAAGGCCCTTTGTCGGGGACTGGTCTTTCTTCTGCTGAACTCATCAGGGCAGAGACCTGGGCCACCTAAGTACAAGAGGGCTGTGGATGGACAGCTTTCTAGAAGGAATGGCTACTGCCCAGCTCCAAGAAGTCTCGGGAATAGGGACAGCCATGAGCAGACCTCCCTTCTCACATGGTCTCTGAATATTTCTCCAAGGAAAACACTCAGTTTTGGATACCCCTCCCCTCCCCAAAACCCAACCCTGGGGAAAATCAGAAGGTGCCCCTTGTTTCTGCCACATGGACTGGTCTCTAGTACAACTTCTCTCTTCGTCTGGCTGGGGGTTTACCCATTGTGTATAAGGCAGACATGGGTGCCACCTGGCACTTCTCAGCATACTGCACCCACCCTGTGTGGGAGCTCAGTATAGACCCAGGGCCCAAAGGATCCTCACTTCAGGACAGTCCCCTCCCCAGTCTCACCGTCTTTCATACTCCATGTCCGGGGGGGGCCTACTTCTGGGCCGATGGCTCCGCCTCACTTCCCAGCTGCCACCAGCCCTGCTATTGCCACCATGCTCCGCCAGCCTGCACAAGAACTCCCGCAAGGGATCTAGGGGAGACAAAGGAAGAAGGGGGGATCAGGGGCAGCCCAAGTCCATCCAGGCAGGGCTGGCTGCCCAACTCTTGGTACAGGGGAAGAAAAAGAATAGCAGTAGCAATCTGGATTGTCTAGACCAGCATGGAAAAGTCAGAGAGGGGGAGAGAGGGAGGGGAAGGGGGGAGAGAGAGATGGGGAGTCAGAGCCAGGGCTGCCACTCTGCCCTGGCTGAGAATGTCCAAGTATCTTTGCGTCTTGGTTTGCTCTCATAAAATGGAGACAAGAATTATTCGCACTAAATACCTCAGAAGGCTGCTGGGGATAAAGTGTGGGTATGTGTGAATGAACTGTAAAGGGCCAGAGAAATGGTGGCTATCATTCTCAGTCCCACACCCAGAGAAGAAGGGACAGCTGCCAGGAACAGCTGGGACAGCTCCCTATCAGTGCCAGAGCCCAAGGTCAAGGCGAGGGCTCCTTCATACTTCTCCAAGGCCCTGAAGAATTCTGGGCTCCCAGGCCATCCCACTAGGCCACTGCAATGGTCCAGCTGCCTCCCTGGCTTCTTTGGGCCTGGACAAGGCACCTTTGGACAAAGCCCCGGTCCCCAAATGTCCTGGGAATGTCTCAGGATTGAGTTCAAGCCCCTCCATCTCCCTGAGTTGGCCCCAAACTTTCTTCTACCTTTCCTTAGTCCCTGTGCTTCCCCACTTTGTACTCTGGAGTAAGCACCAGGATCATTGCTGCCCTTCAGAGCGTACTGAACTCCGGCACCCATCCCCTCTGGAGCAAGGGTTTTAAACTTGGTTTTTAACATGGCCAGATTGGGGGGGGGGCTTAAATTGTTATTTTCACTAATTGAAATTTAGCGTCACCTATTAAAGACAGAATTCAGAGAAGCCTATAAGCTTCACCAGGCTGCCCTAGAATGTGGGCCCAACCAGGTAACTAGGAACTCCATCCAGGCCAAGGGGTCAGGTGTGGCCCAAAGGGGTGAGCAAAGGCCAATGGGCCTTAAGAGATGCCTTTCTTTTTGCCCTCAATCCCTGGAGAAGGGAAATCCCCTCCCCTGCCCCCTAGGCATGTCCTGAATAGCCCTCACACCTCAGGTTTCTAGAGCAAGCTGGGCAAGTTTACAAAGTCCTTTCCTTACAGTCCCAATATTATCAGCTCCATTTTCCCAAAAATACCGAGGCTCAGCCTTTTAGAAGGGCCAAGCTGGAGTTTAGGGTCAGGTCCCGATCGCAACGGTTGGAGAAGTCTGCTCATTCAGGTAGACCAGCAGCGGCCCCCAGGTGATGCTGGGGCCCACAGACCAGAGTGAAGGCCTTGCTGCCCTGCTCCTATTCTACCCAGCTGCTACCCCAGCAGGTGACCCTAATAAAGGACCTTCTCAAAAGCCGGCCAGTCAAGGTGCTGGGAAGGCAGAAAGCAGCCACAGGCAAGCAGGGCTAGGTAGCAGCCCATTCCAGGGGGCAGGCAGAAAAAGAAGCCGGGGCTATGAATGGTCCCCCTGATCAGCCTGGCCTCTTCGCTGGCAAGACTGCCAAGGTACTCAGCTGCCCCTGTCAGGGTTCGGGAAAGGGCCCCGAAGGGGATGGGCCAACAGGCCAACAGAAGATGGGGAGGCCCCAGCTAGGGCCTGGCACATGGGGGGCCAGCAGGGCCAGGAGGCCAGAGGCGAGGCCATGCCAGCTGTCCCGCCCGATCTGGGCCCGGGCCAGCCGCCTGCTCCCGTCATTCATCCCCCAGGTCTACCGCAGCCTCTGGGGAGGGAGGGGAGGGAGGCTGAGGGAGAGGGGAAAAGGGAGGGGGGAGAGGGAGAGCAGGGGGGAGGGGAGAGAGAGCAGGAGGCGGAGGGCGGCGGGGAGCGCGCCGTCACCGAGAGCGCGCACGCCCGCTCGGGCCCGCGCCCGCTCGGCGCCTGGGCCTCTAGCCCGCACCCCCCACCCACGGGGGCCTCCTGGGCCGCGGCCGCGGGTCGGGGCCCCCGGGCCCGGCCCCTCCCCCCACAACGGCCCAGGCCAGCCCGAGCCCCGCCGGGCCCGCCCGCCCGCCCGCTCGCTCACCTGCTGGGTCCGGACCGTGAGGCGAGGGCTCGGGCACATCACCCGGCCTCCGCCGCCGCTGTTACCGCCTCCCTCGCGGGCACGCGCCCGCGCGCCCGCCGAATGCTCAAGCGCGTCGGTTGTCACCGGGCCGGGCCCGGGCCCGCAGGAAAGCACGGCTACACGACTCCAGCGGAGCTGCCGCCGCCCCCGCCGCCGCCTTCTTCTCCTTCTCCCCTTTCTCCGCCTTGGGGCAAACCCACTGCCGCCTCCCCCTGGCTGGCCCCAAACTACCAAGCGAAGATGGCGGCGGCGGCGGCGGCAGCTCCGCCCACTTCTCGCCCCGCCCCTCCTTTTCCCGGCCCAGCAGCCCAGGCGCGAGCGCGAGCCCGGCCCTGGCCCGCCCCGGCGCGGCGCGCTCCGTTGGGCTGGTGCGCCCTCTCCCGAGCGTTCTCTATGGTGAGCCGCCAAGTCCCCTGGGCTCCACCAAGCCGAATCCCGCCCATTGCTCCCGAGGGGACGTGGCGATTGGCCAAACGGGCGACACGTCCATCTGGGAAGGAGGCGGGGTTCCGCATCACGTGATTCCAGCGGGGGTGGGGAGGGGAGGAGACCGATGGGTGGGCTCCGCCCCTTTGCCCATTGGGGAGGACCATTGCTCCAGCTAGACTTTTTTGGCGCCACTGGAGAGAACGACAGTGGTCGTGCCGCACAGCTGCACTTCCTTTAAGCTCCTTAGCTTGTCTTGACCCCCACCCTCTCCGTTCTCTACGCCTCGTTGTTCTTTTCGGGACCTTTCTTTCTCTGTCTTTGCGTCTTTTGGTAGAATGACGGTAGGGACCGTGCCTTGTCTGTCTTTGGCTCCTCGGGGCTTTCAGGTAGGTTGCTTTTGCAAGTCAACAACCACTTATTAAGTGCCTACTATGTGCTAGGCACTGTGTCCTAGGCGCGGGGGGGTGGGTGGGAAGGAGTCCATACCCTAATAGTGCACCCACTGGAGACGAGCCCCTCCGGATTGTAAAACAGGTTGGTCTTCAGACCACTGGCTCAATCTTTTCAGAGCACCTTACTAAAAGCCAGGCTTTCCATCGTGCAAGGACCCACGAAGTGAAGTATCTCTACCCTTGAAAATGATTAAAAAGCAAAACCCCCCTAGAGGAAAGCCCCTAGAACAAAGATCATTTGAGAGATTCTTTTATGGAGGTTACATGGAGGGAGTCCGAGGAATAGAAACCAAGGAACCATGGGTTCAAATCATGGCTTTTGACGCTGCTGCTATGATCTTGGGCAAGTCACTTACCTTTTTTGCACCTCGGACTTTCCTCAACTGTTAAAATGGTGGAGTTGGACTTCAAACTTCCCTTCCATTTCTAAATCTGTGATTCCCCATCTGGCGGTTAGGTGGCTCAGTAGGTAGAATGCTGGAGTTGGAATCAGGAAGACCTGAGTTCAAATTCTACCTCAGACAAACCCTAACCATAAATACTGTGTGACCCCCAGACCCCTTAAGCTCCCTTCTCTAAAACAGAGAGGATTGCACTGGATGGTGTCTAAAGGCAGTCTCTACCTGTTTTCACTCTCTCACACGGTTTGTCATCTGTACTGGGTACAGATCCACAGAAATATCTCAAATACTTAGCACATGACCTCAAACGCATGAGACAGATAAGTTGAAATGAGTCGTCTCTCAGCCTTCATTTTGTCTCTTCTTCCCTTCCCTCCTCCCCCTTCAGGTTTTAGGTCTCCAGCTCTGCTCCACTGCTGCCCTGTCTCTAGGTCTTAGCCATCATTTCAGTCTCTGCACCAGTGTCTCTGCTTCAAACGCTAGGTTTGTCTCACTTTGGCTTTAATTCTAGGTCCCCCACCCCTTTGACTCTTTCTGTCAGTCTCTCTGGAACTTGAATTTTAGTTCTGTCAGAGTCTCCTCGAATGATTTTCAAAATTGGTCCCGCCCTATTTCCCAGCTTTCCCTAATGGCCGAGCCCTGGTAGGAAGTTGATTCCGCCACAAATCTCTTAGCCTCCTCTTCCCCACCCTGGCTCGGTTTAGGGTAGTGTTCACCACGTGCTCCAGTCAAGCGCCAGCTCGGACTGAACTACGATTCCCAGCAGTCTCCGCAACGGCCACCAGCCTGGATCGTACCACGTGCGCTCCACCAGGGGATTCCTTCAGCACTCTTGGGGCCTGTTTTTTACTGGAATGGGCCAACAAGAGTCAAGATCTGATATGAACTAGGGCGCTGATAAGGCTTGAGGTGAAAACGGGGCACACTCGGACGTGAGAGCAGGGGCTAGGCTGCGGGCGTCCCGTTTAGGGTGAGCCTTCCCCCTTGACGCAAATGGTACCTCCCGCTCCAGGCCCGGGGTCCCCAAGTTCCGCGCTCAGCCCATCGCTACGGAAGCCGGGGCTCCTCGGCGGCAGCGAAGTCAGCTCTGGCTCCCGCTCCAGCACCAGCTCCAGCTCTAGGGGAAGGCTAGGCCTCGGTGGCTCCGGGCCGGAGGAGGGGGTGAGTTGAGAGATGTGGTGTTCGGATAGAGGGGCCCAGGGAGAGCTTTTATGGGAGAGCACAAGGTGGGGGGGTGGTGGTGAGAGTTTCGTCCTTGTGTGGCTGCCTGGGCGCAGGAGGCGGGGTCTTCTTTGGCCATTATTCATTAGGGGCGGGGCCTCTGCCCTTCTTGGACTTTATTGCTCCTCTGAGGGGGCGGGGCAATCCGGGCTGGGCCATAATGTAGGAGGTGAGGTTCTACCCCCTCCCCACTCCCCCCCCCCCCCTCATTGCTTGCGTTATTAGCTGGCAGGGAGGACTGATTCGGTTTCTGGCAAGCTCCGGGCAAGACGGACGGGCCTTGGGCAGGCGCGTGCGCGAACTTATTATGCCTTATCCGCGTGGGGAGGGGTAGGTTTTGGCCCATTTCGGGGTGCGCAGGCGCGAGGCGTTGATGCTGGAGGATTTCAGCGAGGCTGGGCCTGCTAGCTGGAAGTGCTTGTGTCACTCAGATACAGGAGGGCGGGAGCAGTTTGGGGGTGAGGACGGGAGCGCACATTGATTGGTTCGAGCATGAGATTGGGGAAAGGCCGCTTGGAGACTTGCTGGAGCCTGCTCTGAGCCGCCAGAGTCCCAGTCTTGGGGCATATGCCAGCTTTGCAGCCTGGCGAGGGAGGGAGGAAGTGGGGGGGCGGGGCTCACCGCCCGGCGGAGGGGCGGGCCTCAGGCTGGGAGGTGCCTGCGGCAGGAGGCGGAGCCACCCTCGGGTTTTGTTCCGGCTCTGCGGCGGGCGGCCGCCATCTTGTGTCTGGGACCGAAGCAGCCCGTGGACGGGCTGAGACTCCAGGCACCGGGGCTGGCCTTAGGCGGTGGTGGGGGCAGTTCCCTGAGCAACGGACGGCGACTGCAGCGACTGCGGTGATCGGGCCCCGGGGAACAGGCCTTGGTAACAGGCCTGCCTCCAGGGCTGCCGGCCGGCCCCCCCTCTCCTCTCCTCCACCCTCCCCTTCCCGTCTGCCGCGATCTCTCCCCCCCTCTCACTGTCTGCTTTGTCTCCCCTCTGCCCTTTGACTGCCAGGATCTCTTCCCCCCCCAGCTGTGATCTGTCTTCCCCCCCACCCCTGCTGCGATTTCTCCACCCCCAGGGGGCGGGGCCACTGTCTCATGGGCCCCACCCGGGATTCTGCCAGAGGGGTGGGGCCCTTCAGAGGTGGGGGGGCGGGGGCATCAATCCTGCCTCCCCACTCTTTTCACTGGAGCCTTTGGTGGGTGGGTGGGCAGGTTGGTGGCAGGCAGACCTGCAGCTACTGGAGATAAGGCCAAAGAGCACCCTGGACAGCGCCTTCCTTTCATCCCCTTCCCTCCCCCCCATCTTGGGCTTCTGTTAGTTTAGAAGCCTCTTTGACACCCCCTTTCCCCTGTTTACCTGAGGGAGTGGGAGAAGAACCCTAAAGAAAGGACAGCAGCCTTGGCCAGTCAGGACAATGGTGCTCCCTTCTTCCGCCAAAGCTTTGTCGCTGTTCCCTCCTATCCCATATCACCACTCAGCTTGGTAGATAGTTGACTTTCCCCACAAACGTCATGTGCCCGCTGGACTTGATCAGATCTCCTCTTACCCACTGACCCCATCTGTCCCTAGGCCTGCTTTGCTATTTCACTGTAACCATGCCCAGAAGATATCCCCAGAAGATCTGTCTGCCTGTCTAGGAGGCCCCTCAGCTCTCACATTTCTTTCCTCTCCACCCTACCCACCCCCAACCCCCAGTATGACCAGCTCATTACCTTCCCTAACATTCTGGGACACTCTGGCACTGTTTCTTTTCCTCAGACTTCCTGCTGTACCCATTCCTGGGAGGACTTTCTTTCTCCCAGATATCCTAATTATTAAAAGCCTGTTTTTAGTGAGATTCCTCAGCCCATCTTTTTCATGTCCGGTTCATTGTTGTGCTTCTAACCCTGATCCCTCCTCCCTCTCTCTGGGCCAGTTCTGACAACCCTCCTTCCTATCTCCTAGATGTCCAGCTCGCCGCTGTCCAAGAAGCGTCGCGTGTCCGGGCCTGATCCAAAACCGGGTTCTAACTGCTCACCTGCCCACCCTGTTCCCTCTGAAGTGCCCACTGCACCTGCTAACGTGAGTGTTCAGCACTGAGTCCCAGTAGCGAGGTGGTTGCTGGGGCTTGGGTCAGCCTCACCTCACCCTGTGCATCTCTGTCGCTTCCTTCGTCCACAGGGAATGGCAAAGAACGGGAACGAGGCAGATATCGACGAGAGCCTATACTCCAGGCAGCTGTGAGGCTGGAATTGTTGGGGGCTGGGAAGGGGAGAAGTTATCAGACTGGGGCTAGGCTCTAGACCTTTCTCTCCTCTCCTTCTCAGGTATGTACTGGGCCATGAGGCCATGAAGCGACTTCAGACTTCCAGCGTCCTAGTGTCTGGGCTCCGGGGCCTGGGAGTTGAGATTGCTAAGAACATAATCCTTGGTGGAGTCAAAGCTGTTACCCTCCATGATCAGGGTGCTGCCCAGTGGGCTGATCTCTCTTCCCAGGTAGCCTCAACCCATTGCCATGGTTCATTTCCTCCCCCTGCCTTGCCACCCTAGTTATTCATCCTTTCTCTTCTTCCTACCTTTAGTTCTACCTTCGAGAAGAAGATGTAGGCAAGAACCGGGCAGAGGTTTCACAACCCCGTCTGGCTGAGCTCAATGCCTATGTTCCCGTCTGTTCCTACACAGGGCCTCTCACTG